GTTTGGCGTCAACAAACTGTGGGAGTTTCAAAATTCCTCCTGCCTGGCAAAGGTTTCCATGAATGTCCTGGAGGTTGGAATCCTTGGGAGTGCCCCCACCTCTTGGCCAAAACGGATGAGGAATAAAAAGGTGATTTAAAGCCCAACAATCCACCTTGTGGAGCCTGGGAGCCCTGGGGTCCGTCCCCACGTCCACCACGTAGATCCGGGAGGAGATGAGGGATGGCAGGATGAGGAGATTCCTGCTCTTGCTGGCGTCCCCGAAGCAGCTGCTGCAGGCGTTCCAGCCCGAGTGGTGCAGCTCATCCTGCAGGTTGGGCATGGGCAGCCGGTGGATCACCTGGAAACAGGGAAAGCAGGCTCCAAACTACCTGGGAATCGGGGAAATCAGGCTCCAAACTACCTGGGAATCAGGGAAATCAGGCTCCAAACTACCTGGAAATCAGGGAAATCAGGCTCCAAACTACCTGGAAATCAGGGAAAGCAGGCTCCAAATTACCTGGAAATCAGGGAAATCAGGTTCCAAACTACCTGGGAATCAGGGAAATCACGCTCCAAACTACCTGGAAATCAGGGAAAGCAGGCTCCAAACTACCTGGAAATCAGGCTCCAAACTCAGCCCCCTTTAGGGGTTTTTCCCTCAGGCAAAGAACGGTCATAAACGCCAAGGAAATGGGTCATTGTGTCCAAGTGTAAATGCACAAAGAGAGAGGGAAAGTGCTGGTTTCTGTCAGTCAGGAAGCAGATTTGCTCCTGGGAAGTTCAGGGATGGGATCAGGGGGTGTGAGATAAAAAAAGAGCCACGAAAATGCCGGGAAGGGCCTCGAGACCGAGAGAGGAATGGGAGTTTGGAGTAAGAAAATTGGGTTTTCTTGTTCCCCCCACACAAATATCAACCCGCCAGGGACTCTGTGAAGCCAAATATTAATTTTCCCCAGCAGGTACCTGGCAGTAGTGGGGGGATTTGGGGTCCACATCCACCGTGGCCAGGTAGTCAGGCTTCTGGATCCCCGTGTTCCTGTAGATGCAGGGCAGGTAGAGCAGCTCCTCCCGGGGACCTGGGGGCACAAATTTGGGTGAGGCACCAAAAAATATTCATTTTTACCAAAAAAAAAAAAAAGGTGACATTTAAAGGAATCTTAAAGATTTTATATGTTTTAAATATTTCATATACTTTATATATTTCACATATGTCACTCTGGGAGGCATCCACCTTTGTCTCCCCCCCCAATTCCAAAATAATTCCACTGCTGCTGGCCTGGATTTAGGAAAGCTGTGCCAAAAACTTGCCTTTCATGGCATCCAGAGGACTGGCATATCCTGGTCCACACGCTCCACATTTCGCTGATTGGAGAGAGAGAGAGAGAGAAAAAAAAAAATAAATCCAATTATTTAAACATCCGAGTTCTTTCCAGGCGCATCTCTGAGAGGAGAGGAGAATTTCAACTCCAGTTTTTAATTGCTGACTCCGGGCAGCGCTGGGGTTACTCCCAGTCCCACATCATGATGCTCCATCCTCATGAAAAATGGGAAGCCGGGGCCTTCCAGGAGTTCAGCCTCCCCATTTCCAAAGCCCATCTGTCTGTGCCAAGGGCCCTGGGACGTGGGAAAAGGGTGTTAAATATTTGAGGGAGCTGCTGACTCGGTGCCAGGAGACAGATTTCCCAACGGGAACGACCCACGTGGGCATTATTCCTGGAAAGCCTCTGGGTTTTTCCCTGCACGGAAACGCTGGAGAAGTGGCGATTTTTTAGGATTCCAGGAGGGCACCAGTGAACAAGAAAATGCTTCCAGTCGCAAGTTTATGGATTTAAAGCACCACCTGCTCCCACACATTGCCCTGAGGCTTCTCACAGACTTCCAGGACCTTTCCAGGCGCAACTCAGTGAGCACAGGTTGAAAAAAAAATTAAACTCAGAGTTAAAAATTTAATCCCTCCCTCTTGTTTCCCGTCCAGCGAGCCAAGAACGGAAGATCCTGGAAATCGGGGGGGAAGGGGGGGGATCTCGTCACCAAAAATACGTCAAGTAGAAGCAAAAAAAGGTCAATCCAGACCCTCCCTCCCCAACTTCCTCGGGGTTTCACGTCCACGAGCAGCAAGTGCGAGGGTTTATTTAAGTTTTTAAAGGCTGGGGGGGGGGGGACTGGGAGAGACCCTTAATTAGAGCCCCCAAAAGGCATTTAGAGATGGGATTAAACTCGAGGGGAGTTCGGGGCAGCAACAGCGAGGGGGGGAAAAAAAAGCTGAACCCCCGATCTGGATCGATCCCGGCGGGATCCAGGGCTGGATTTAGGGTTGGATCCAGGGGTTGGAGCTCTTACCCATGTTGGAGCGGCGTGATGGGAAGCTCAGCTGCCCGGAGAGGTTTGTTTTTATGGATCCAAAGGTGGTTTTTTTGCGGATCCAAAGGGTGTTTTTTGCGGAGCCGAAGCCGCGGAACCCGCGGGAGGAGGAGCGGGGCAAGGACCGGGAACAGGAGCTGCCAAAGGGGAGGATCCAGCGCGAGGGGAAGGACGAAAACTCCAGCCTCGATTCCC